TGTTATATATGTACTGTTACTTCTGTTACTTTTGATGAAAACTTTTATCTTAAATTTTAATCAATGATAAATTTGAATGTATTATGCTAGAGACAAATTGTATTATGATGTAAACATGCATTGCCTTATTTTATAAGTCTTCTTGACAATTGCTTATGAGTATTAGCAAGATAAACTGACACAATTCTGTATCTAAGGCTTTTGCCTACTACAGATGTAATGGAATAAGGAAATAATAATAATAATAATAATAATGAGAATTTTGAATCGTTTATGAATCCAATATTGTATGGACACTGTTCATACAGCAGTAATGCTGGCAGTGGAAACAGAAATGGCATGTTTTAGTGATGAGGAAAGAGATGGAGGTGCGATGTTTTATGTAACTAGTTGTTACTGTTCTCATTAGACAGTAATGGCTGAGCAGAATAACAAATGAGCTCATGTACTTGTATGTAAATCAGAGCAATTAAAAAACTTTGCAATTGGTGAATAAATACTAGTAATAATGGCTTTCCTGGGAGGACATTAAGAAATCACAGTTCATCTGGAGTTGGCATAAAATGAAGCATCTGCTTCATTGAAATTCTCAGGAAAAAAGATTCATAGGCCTGCAGAAGCTGTTGTACTTTTAACAAGCAGCATTTTTAAAATCAGTGGGACTAGTATTAAAGATATTATATTGTCACATGAGGGAGTGGCTTTGGATGGTGTTTTGGGTTGGAGATACGATTTATTGACCAATTTACCACGTGGCATGTGACTACAGTTAATTATAGTGCTGTTGCTGATCTCCACACTTAACAAATCACTACGGTGTATGCTAAGTCTTTTCGGTCTACTGTGTCTTCATCAGTCATTCCCTGGTAACGAATCCTAACATTGGAGATTCTTCAGCTTACATGCTTACTTCATTACTGGCTGACTACTCTCTCATAACTTAACTCCTAGGTGGGCAGCCATTTCATACCAATCTCCTAGTCTCCTCTTCACAGACTGACTTTCAACTGCCCTCACTTCTAAAAGTGTCTCGGTTGTAACATCTCAGCTCGGACTAACGGAAAACATATCTTCTGTTGTTGCTCAAATCGTTTCCATGGGAATGTGTTCTGTTTGTGAAGGCATTACCCAGTAACAGCTCTGGTATATTTGATTATCTCAAGGTCATTGCCTAGTAATGGCTCTGCACACTACAATATTGTAACGTCATGTGTGTGTGAATCTATTATTATTATTATTATTATTATTATTATTATTATTATTATTATTATTAGTTCCTTAAAGTATTACATAAGGAAAAAGAACTATTTTTACAGACGTTTTAAGAAAAAGAAATCCGATTGCCTTTACCAAAAAATTTCCTATTATCGTAAGCTAGTTAAGTCTACTATTAAGTCTGACAGACTTAGATGGTTGAAATCTGTGGACGAAAATTTAAAGTCGCAACCCAAGCAATTCTGGAAATATGTGGCCTCCTTTAGGAAAAGAAATTCAAATTCCATCCAGCTTGAGGTTGATGGTAAGCATTTAATCGAACCTCATGACATTGCTGATGAATTTTCAAAACATTTTCAAACAGTGTACCACAATCCTGGTCCTATTGTCTTCCCCAACCTATTGTCATCTTCCGAATTCTTACCTTTAGCGTCTGTTTCAGATTCCGATGTTATTAAAGCTATTAAGCGCCTGAGACCATCTAAGTCTGTTGGAGTCGATGACATCCCTGGATTCATTATTAAGGGTTGTACTGATATATTTGTACCTATTCTGAAACACATCTTTAATCTAAGCTTATCTCAGCATAA